TACTTTTCTTTTGGTCTGGTTTGTTTCACTCAGTATCAAGTTTTTGAGATTTGTCCATGCCCTTGTGTCAATCTGTAATTCTGGTTGCTCTACAGTCTTTCTTATGTTGGGTGATATCAGTCTTTTTTTTTTAGTCACTCTAGTCGGTGTATAGCCCATAAGCATAGTTTTAACCTTAGTGAATGTGCAGTCCCCCTTCCCCCCCAGTGTTTGATATAATCCGAATGATAATTTCAGATCTTTTGTCATAAGACATTGTATGAGTAATGAGTATGGTTTAAATATTCTTTTGGATGGCTTCTAAGTGAGAATCCATAAAGCCGAAAGCAAATTTAGAAATCATTTAATAGAAACCCATCAATTTATAGATGAGCAAACTGACTTGAAAAGTAACTTATTTAATGTTAATGTAGATGTATGACTTTTGATTTAATGTTTTTGTTCTAATGCTTTTTTTCTAAGTTATTTCCGAGATTCTTATCTCTGTAATTAATAGACATTTTTGTTCCACATTATTTTCAGAAAATGTTTGTTTTATATGAGTTAGAGAAGGGGAAAGGATGTAAGTAGGCTTCATCTAAATTTCCCGTTTGGCATTCCTTTTTTATTTATAATGCTTAAAAGAGCAAGACTAGAAGAGAAGAAAAATAGAAAGGTGGAGAACTGAAACTTGCAGTTGAAGGTGTCATAATACATTCTCTTAACTGATTTCTTCCCACTTGAGTTTCGGCCTGAACTGAATCCCATTATTTAATTCTGCCTTAATGTTCCTAGGTATGCAGGTGCCTTGAGAGCTTCAGGGGAAATGGCTTCAGCACAGTATATTACTGCAGGTCAGTATGTTAAACGTACTGCTTTTCTATAGGGGTCATAATAGTTAATAAATTTTACTTTTCATTCACAATCTGTTTAATACTTTTTCAGTTTACAAAATGTGTATTTCATTAAGATTGGAGTACTTTATACTTAAATTAAGCAACATGGAATTTATTTTATTATTCAAATTATAAGCCAATGATATCTGTCCTTTTTGAAAAATAATCTTTTAATTGAATTGTTATTTTTTGGCTTCAGGTTCTATTAGTATAATACAGTGTATCTTTGGGGATGACTTTGGGGATAGCAAGAGATAAGTTTTGTCATAGTTGACATGTTCATTATAAAAGAGACTCTTAGTGTAAAGAAGTGACATGTATGAGGAGAAATAAAAATTTTTATTTTTATTTTATTTTATTTTATTTTTTTTACATAAAGATGACTGGTAAGGGGATCTTAACCCTTGACTTGGTGTTGTCAGCACCACGCTCAC